AAAAAAAAAAAAATACATGTTTTTTAAGAGAGAATGTGCTTAAATATCCAGACATCACACAATCTTGAGACTGTCCCTCCCCAAGCTTGGCAAAAAGTTGGAATTTTTTTCTCTAGAGGGTGTAAATTTCTGGACTAGGAAGCCTGTCCAGAGATCTGGAAGACAATAGTCTTGACCTGGATGCCAATTCTGGGCATACTAGAATGCAGAAGCTCCCCAGCCCTCTTCCTTCACTGAGCTCCCACAAGGTCGGCAGTTCAAGGTAAAGCCTCCTGACAAGAGACTGGAAGTTTCCTCCGGGGAACCTGACCAGAGCCCAAGAGGAAAGTCCTAAAGATGGACACTGGCTGGGGATTTACCAAAAATTCCATGAGCTCACCTTACAAGCACATCTTCTTACTATCCCACCTGTAAATATAAGCAGACTACCAATGATTGCCAGGAAGCTAATGAAAGTCTGTAACACGAAAGACTAAAAGCAAAACAAAAAGGACAAAAAGTTTTAAAAAGGGGGCACCTGGGTGGTTCAGTGAGTTGAGCGTCTTGACTTCAGCTCAGGTCATGATCTTGCAGTTCGTGGATTTGAACCCCACATCTGAACCCACATCAGGCTTGCTGCTGTCATCCTATCAGCGCAGAGCCTGCTTCAGATCCTCTGTGCCCCTCTCTCTGCCACTTCCCTGCTTGCTCTATTTCTCAAAAAATAAAACATTTTAAAATAAAAGGGGGAAGAAAACATCATGCAGGGTGATGAAAGCTTCAACAAAGTATATTAAAGTCCTTAGAGATAAGATATTGCAACCATGGAATGTGGTCTTAATTAAAAAAAAAAAAAAAAAGGAACAGAGAATTAACTTGGAAATCTTCCATTAGGGGAGATCAAAAGACAAGAAAATGGGGGTGGTAAGGACAGAAAAAATAAGAAAAACAGAGATAGGTCCAGATCCAATACCTGAAGAACAGGAATTCCAGAAAGAAAAACCAGAAGAATAAGGAAAGGAAATCATTAACAAATAATTCAAGAAAGTTTCCCAGTAATGCCAGGAGTGAAGGTTAAGAGTCCATTCTCAAAGGCTCAACAACAGCCTGGCAAGTGCATGAAAACAGACCTCTGCCAAGGCCTGTCACTGAAATTTCAGAACCCTGGCTACAAAAGGGAGAAGGAGTCATATACAAAGACTCTCAGAACTCAGAATGGCTTCAGATTCTTCTAACAGCAACACTAGGTGAAAAGTAATAATGCCTTCAAAATTCTAAAGGAAAATATATTCCAAACTAGAACTTCACACCTGATCAAGTATGAGAACGAGACATTTTCAGACATGCAATTCTTTCAAACTACTTCCCATGCACCCCTTTTACTGCAAGCACTCTATCAAAATGGGGTATTAAACCAAGGGGAAGAGGGTACACAGAAAACGGGATTCAGCAGGAGAGAGCTCACAATGACAGCAATATATTAGGCACAAGGGAGAACCAGTTCAGATTGGACCAGGTCAAGAAATTGATAAAATAGACGATGTGTTATGCACTTAGAGAACTCTGGGGTTGAATTAGTGACAAGTGGACAGAAAACTAAGCTAATAACTAATAAAAATCCAAGAGGATTATTAATTCTAGGGAAAAGTTCTGCAGGAAGGTAACCTAGTTCACTATGTAGCTCAGCTGTGATTTAAATACCCAGTCGTAGGGCGCCTGGGTGACTCAGTCGGTTAAGTGTCCCGACTGATTTACCCAGGTCACAATCTCAGGGGTCCTGAGTTCTGAGCCCCTGTAAGGTTGGGCTCTACGGCTTGGAGCCTGGAGCCTGCTTCTACTCCCATCCCTGTAAGGTTCCCTCTGCCCTCCCATTCCATGCTCTGTCTCTGTCTCAAAAATAAATAAAACGTTAAAAAAAAAAAATTTAAATACCCAGTCGTAATGCAAACACTTAATATGATTGAACTAGAATTCTATCAGGGAGATGGATGATGGGGAGTACATGCATGGTGGGCAAGAGGGAGAAAGAAGTCAAAAGATAATGCCTAAAATGTAAACATCAGTAAATAGCCAAGCACATGTTTATATTTGAGATATGGAGGCAAATACAAACTTATCAGCCAACAGCTGAAGGAGATACTGTGAAGCAGGGAAAATGGGGAAGAGCAGATAGGATAGGAGGGCTGCTGTTTTTCAGAATAAACCTCACAAAACTTTTGGCTCTTTCAATGCAAAACAATTGATATTCTTCCTAAAATGCAGGAATACAAAGCTGTTTTACAAACATATTTTGTTAACGTATTTTTTTCAGATTTATTGTGAAAACAAAACCACAGGGGAACCTGGGTAGCTCAGTTGGGTTGTCTGACTAGATTTTGGCTCAGATCATGATCTTGCAGTTCGTGGGTTTAAGCCCCGCATGGCGCTCCATGCTGACAGTACAGAGCCTGCTTGGGATGCTCACTCTCTCTCAAAAAAAAAAAAAAAAAAAAAAAAAAAAAAGCCACAAATGGAACTGCCTTACTTTTTCAGGATCTAGACAGAATTTCAGCTAGTTTTTACTATGTAGAATCATGCAACACTGGTATTCCTCCATGGTTTCCAATGTAAACCACATTCACTCAGCTTTTCAGATCCAGGATGCAATTCATTAGTGTTAATTAAGTATAATGTGTTACTAAAGTCTTCCTATAAAAGTACAATTTAAGTAGTGACCGTACTGACCTATTCCAGTCGAGGATATCAAAATGTGGTCTCAGATCTACTGAAACAGATTTACCTGGCAAGGGCATTGCTTAATATGCAGATTCCTGGGCCCTATTCCAGACTAATTCGCCAGCAACCTCTAAGGGTGGGGCCTTGGAATCTTCCTAACAAGATCCCTAAACTGATAATGAAATCTACAGTTCTTACTCACTATAATTCAATAGGGTCATTAATAATAAGCCAATAAATCAATGCCTGCAAACCAAGGTCACGAGCAGGGAAGAGGGAATTTATACAGGGTAGTAGATATCACAATGTCTAGAATTCCACTTACAAACACTTCAGAGAAATTCTGCTCCATCCACATGCAACTCCACATACGAGTTTCTTTCCTTACCAGAAACGACACATTAACTTTTGGTCAAATCTAAAACAAATGAACTCTAAACTCTATTCACATTAAGTTCATTTGAAATGGCCCCCAGTCTAGGAGCCCCTCTGCTGAGGCAACACAGCCTACAGGGCCACCAGCACACTTCATCCAAATGTGTCACAAGAGCTGGGGGTGCTGAAGCAAGAGGCACAGGGGCTGCTCTGGGGGATGGGTCTCTGAAACCTTATTTATGCACCTGCAGTATCTAACCGACAATCTGAATCTTGTTCCTTAGTTCTTTTATTACAGGAATAACACAAGGTCTGTTACATCATGGTAGTGCCACAATTATAAGACAAGGCTTGTTAGAAAATCCCTACTTGAGGGGTGCCTGGGTGACTCGGTTAAGCAACCGACTCTTGATTTCAACTCACATTGTGATCTCACGATTCATGGGATTGAGCCCCGCATCAGGCTCTATGCTGACAGTGTGAAGCCTGCTTGGGATTCTCCCTCTCTGCTCCTCCCTCGCTCTCTCTCTCACAAACTTTAAAAAAAAATAAGAAAAAGGAAATCCTTACTTGATGCCTGGTCAACAGATGTGCTGGATTTTCTTCTTCCTCTTTTATTACTCAAACGATGTGTCCCATGAGCAATGTGCACTGCAAGGGCAATCAGTCCCTTTTCCTCTTAGTAGCTTTTGCTGAAGCTCATCCTATACTGAATCCCTGACAAGACCTCTTTTCAGCATTTGACTTCCAATTTCTGTGTTTTTGTCAGTTATTTGCTTTGCATACCTTGTCCTTTCTACCTCTGCTACATTAAAAACTATGGCTGTGCTAATGCATGCTAAGATGCTCTGATAAATGCATAAGAATCTGTCCCCGCATATCACCACAAAACTGGTTATGAAGCCAGTGTAGTAGTCATCAATGTTGGCCATTAGAACTCCCCGAATTATCTTTTAAGTTGAGATTACATTTGCCAAATGCTGAACCACTAGGGTTTCCAGCCTACAAAGATCAGAATGGTGGACTTTTTCTTTGCCCAGGACCACCCATGCTGTGTTGTTCAAGCTGAGCTGATGACATCTCCACAAAGGTTACCTGAACAAAGCACCGTACAAGTGCCTGTGTCTAAAGACCAAGACCGTCTGTGTGTTCTTGGAGTTTTTCCATGGGTTTAACCGGCAACTGGCCTGGAACAGCAGCTTAAACTCTTATCAATAACTATGCGATTTCAAAGTACTAGCATTCTCCCAGGACACCTTCCAGGGTGTCAAAATTTAACTTGCTGCCAAAGCAAACAGAACACAAACTCCAAAATGAACACACAGTCCTTTTTTCAAAAAGAAAACAAAACAAACAATCACCACCATATTTATTTAGTTTAACATTTCCTCTGCTCTAAAGAGAAAGATGTCAAAAGAAAACCTAGAACATATACATAAGCATACACCCCCCTGAACCCAGACAACCTAAGGGAAAAAATAACGACAAAGTTCAGTTCAACAGATAAATTTATCTTCGCTTCTGGAAGATGTTTCCACGCCCCATTCCACGTCCTCTTCCTCTTGCAGCCACTGAAAGGTAGGAAAGAAAGGAAAAGGCCAGGTCAGTGAAGTCAGTGAGTGCTCATGCCACAGAACAGCCAGAGCCCTTCCTTGGACACTGGCACAGGAAAGGGCCTGGAAGGCCACCTAGTCCAACACCATGCCTACCACATGTCATTTCCCCATTGCCTGGGGACTGACACCTGGCATCAGAGCTGGAGGGGGCACCAAACTCCTGCCTTCCAATCTAGTCCTGCTCTCAACAAGAGGCCAGGAGTCAGTGTGTTGAAAGCTAAGGTGGTTTGGGAAGCAAGTGTGAGAACCAAAGAAAAGATGAATTCCCAGAGCTGGCCTATGGTGAGGTAATAACACATGACAGATGAATTTAATTCACACTTAAAATTCTGAAACAAATGCTAAACATCTGTTAAATCTGGGTGGCAGGTTTCTTTTTTTTTTGAGCTACCCTGAAATATAAAACGTTTTGTAATAGCAAAGCAAAACCACACCCCATACGAAGGACATAGACATAATAAGCTGCTGTTGTCTATGACCCCAAGAGTTCTAGGAGAGAACCAGTGGCTTTGAAGGACAAGTGAAAATAGTCTGATGGCTGCTAATCGGAGTCTCACCCCTCTTCCCACTTATAGAGCCTGGAGCCGACCTGAAGAGGGAAGGGAGTCACCCAAGAACCCAGCGACAAGCTGATGGGACTACAGCAAGGGACTGGCAGCACAGATGGCCCAGGCAGAGGCCAATGGGCCTGGGTAAACTCACTGCCACGTGTCTTCTAGTGCACAACTACTGGGCTGAACCTTTTGTTAGAGAAGGTGGTGTAGTTATACAGGGACAATGAGGGCAGCCCTCCCCGAGAAAGCAGAGAGAAAAGCAGTTCTAGTAAGAAAGCCAGTATTCCTGAAAACCATTCCTTCACCAGGACAAAGGTCCAGAGCTTCTGGTTCTACCTGCCCACAAATGCCACTTATCTAGGAAGGGCAAGGAGATTCTCTGATCAGCTTTTTTGAAGGACATTTTAAAGGATTACTCTTACATCTTTAAACTCAAAAGCTACCTCATATATAAAATATGCATAGCAACAAAAGCACTGATGGAGAATCCAGTGACTTTCCTGCACTATAAATCTTTCTACTGACATACATTTTCTAACGAATACACTTGCTTTCTAGATAATCATCATGGCAGAGCTTTTCATGGACCCAAACATAAAACCTCTGACTAGGCTGACCTAAAAGAAAGGCCAGACTAAGGAAGGTCACTGGGTCACTGGGGACATGCTGAAAGGAAGGATTTATTTTCAAATACAAGAATATTCGAAAACAGAAGTTCAGTCCCTTTAATGGGTAAAGATGGCTTAAAACTGCTTATTTCTTATATGAAAATGGATCCCTATCATCAGCATTCCCCCCCATGCATACTGGGTGTCAACAAACACCCCCAGCTTCTCTGGGAACTGTTGCCCCACTGCTTCAAGAGTCAGCTAATCCAAACTACAGTGCCCCTGCTCAGCAAACTAGGTAAGAGCAAGCTTCCCCCAAACTCTTTGGACAGAATTTCTGGAAACAAAGAGCCTCCCAGAAATTCATTATAGGAGACTTATCTACTCTCTCATTTAAGATAGGAGTCCCCTTCCTTTTTCTAAGGAGGCACTTTGGATTTTGAATAAGCCTTAAGAATGTGATCAGGTGAGGCAAGACAGAGAAGGCGAGATAAGGTCCCCAGATCTTCACAGGTGTGGGCCCCAAGCCTGCAGGGTGACAGATGTAGACATGGCCGAAGTCGAAGTCCACCCTATGCCCAGGCAATTAACAGGGCCCTTTCCTAAAAGATACATGACAAACACATATGTTAAAACCAGTGCATGAGGAGCACATACCTTGGGCCTTCAGAATAGCAGCTTTTCCCCGGCCAGCCCCTGAGCCTTGGTTTTTATTTTTCATGCTCTTTAACATGGGTGCATTTTTCAGCATGTCAGGCAAGATGAGAAAGCGGATCTTGCTGCCACGGATGTACACCTGCTCCAGCTGTGCCACTCGGCCGTCTCTGTATGTGACTGTGATGTTGGACATCTGGAAGGGAATCAGTAAGGGCCAACAGCATGAGCAGAGAACAAGGACACACAAAGAGGGGGAGCCTTGGGTGGTGGGAGGGCAAGTCCAGAAACGCACAAACTAACATCATGAAATGAAGGAGCCAGGCAAAGCCAGGGAAATAGGAGGACCTACGACGTGTGCGAGAGACTGTGCAAAGAACTTCACATATATGATCCTCATGGCACCTCCAGGATAGGTATGAGTATTCCCAATTTTACAGATAAAAAAAACAAAAAAACCAAAAACACACACAAAACTAAAGCACTTGTCTAAAGTCCAACAGCCAGAATGAAAGGATCCAGACTCAAACCCAGTTGGCCTGACTCCAGAGCCCTAACTCTGCTATACTGCCTCCCCTGCCAGCATGTGAAGGGCTCTCAATGGTAAAAAAACTATAATTTAAACAGCTCTGAACTGCCTGTCCAAACTGTGTCCTCTCTTGCATCTGTCCGGCACACAGATTGCAAAGGGACCGTGAAGGTCATGAGTGTGCACCAGAGGCAGCTCTTACCCTCCCAGACTGCATATTCAAGAAGGCAAAATAGAGCCTCTTTAGCTTCAGTGACTAGGAATGGAGAAGTATAGGTGGTGACGCCTGTATGAAGGGTCCAGAATAATGGGGAAGGTGTGAGGCAAGAGCCTGCACTGAGAGACACAACACTTGGGCACCAACCCATAGGACACGAGAACTGGAGCAGAGCAAGGGGACAGGGCACAGAGTCATCACCATGGAGACTATGGGGGTCACTCAAGTTTGTGGAAAGAGGGAGGGTGGACAGGGTTAAGGCAGCACATTGGAAAGATCAATATGCCAACATGCATAAGCTATGGGATGGAGAGACAGGGACCCTAGAGGGGAAACCACATGGCAGACTGGCTTAGCATAGAAGGGTGCCACAAACCTGCCAGTGCCAACCTTAACAGATACGATGTTTCCCACAAAAAGTAGCTTATTTTGAATCTTTTGGATCGAAGAGTATTATAATTTATTCAGTATAGGTCAAAGCCCACAGTGTAAAGAGGGATGCTGTCTCCCAGATTTCTGACTGGTTTGTTGCCACCTTTACATTCCTTTTCAAGTGCTAACTGGCCACCCAGCCTCTGCAAGAACATCCAGGGTGAAAAAAGAGTAACAACACTCTAGGGCCATCCTGCTAAATCTGTGCAGTGGAACAGTTTACAGAACTTCAACCCACTGCCCCTGTTCCATCCTCAGGGGTAACAGGTCTCAAGTTTGCCATAAATCTTCTGTTCCAGGCTCAACATCCCCAGTTTCTTAACAAATTCCCACACAGGTTCTAAATCCTTGCCATCCTGTTCTTGCCTTGAAGAATACCATAACCTCTGATGTCACAAATGAACACCAGGGATGGTTAAACTACTTGAGAAACCTGGGTCTGACCCAGGCTCACAAATACCAGATACGCCCATGACTCTGGAGCAGACAGAATAGGACTGAATTTTTTTTTTTTTCAACGTTTATTTATTTTTGGGACAGAGAGAGACAGAGCATGAACGGGGGAGGGGCAGAGAGAGAGGGAGACACAGAATCGGAAACAGGCTTCAGGCTCTGAGCCATCAGCCCAGAGCCTGACGCGGGGCTCGAACTCCCGGACCGCGAGATCGTGACCTGGCTGAAGTCGGACGCTTAACCGACTGTGCCACCCAGGCGCCCCAGGACTGAGAACCTATATTTGAGAACTGGCCCTGCCGTTTGTTAGAAATGTTACTCTGGGTAAGTCTCCAGGTTCAGTTCCCTCATCCACAAAGGGAGGGAAATACAACATAACAAAGCCAACTTTCATGGAGCACTTATTAGTATCCCAGGCAATTTTACATCGTAACTCAAATAAATCACACAATTCTACAAGATGGATACCATCATCATCTCCACTAGAGAGATGAAGCAGCACAGCCACCAGAGGCAGGTCTGTCCCCAGAGGCCACACCTTTACCTACTCTATTCTCCTGCCTAAGGTCACACTGCCCCTGTGTGGCCTGGACAGGACCTGAATTCAGGTCTATCTAACTCTAAACTCACACTCTTCAACCATACATCAGATCACCACTTACTTCCTCCAATAATTAAGGAACAAGTCAAATGAGAGAAATATGTCTAAATGATGTCCCTATTACCTAGTATATATTAGAAACTCAGTAAATAATGAATCTAAATGACAGTTAAGACATCTATTTTGGAGGCTGTGCTACTTCTCCAGCACATCCCAGTACATCTCACCCATTCCTTTGTCAAAACCTCCCCAACCCACTTTGAAAATCCCCAACAGAGGGTGTTCTGTAAGACCAACAAGACAAACTGTCCTGGCTGAAGCAGGAAAGGGTCCAGCATCAACTGACTCCTATGACAACCCTAATAATGACCAGGTCGGCTACTGCTCTCATGCACCCCCTGCAGCACCCACAAAGAAATGGCTGCACTGTTATAAAGCCCCACAGTCTCGCCCACCCACACAGCTTGTTAATAAGCCTGAGCTATGTTGGCATCAGAAGCCAAAGGCAACAACTTGAGTGAACTAGGTTTCAGTGAAAGTCAGGCAGAAACACCTACCTTACTCAACTTTCCCAAACAGCCACAATGAAACACAGGTAGCATAAACCAGGTGCCTAACTGAAATGACATCTTGGGAGAGAGATCTTAGTACAATCAAAATTGTGGGAATTTCCTCACACATCCAGGTCCAAGAGGAAAGCAATGTTGGGGTGCCTTGGGGTCATCGATCACAATATCCCTGTTGTGGGACACATAGCAAGCACTCAACAAGTGTCTGGTCCCCTCCTCCACTCTCCCCTCCCCTACCATTAATAGCAGAGCCTCCCTCTTTTGTTCTGATCCCTTCTACTCAACTTCCTGCCTGAAATCTGACACTCCTAGAGGCAACAGGCTCTAGCAGGTTTACTCTACACCTCATCTTCAGAAACTGTGGTTAAGACCAGAGATCTGGGGCTCAGAGGTACAGGTTTAGATCTGCTTCTTCCATGTTTGGTCATCCTGGGCATCTGGAAGCTTGTCCTCAGAGAAGTCCTGCGAAAGATCTATTGCACATAAAAACACTACCATAGCACCTGGTATAGAATAAATGAATGGAAGCTTCTGGTACTATTAAGCACACAGCCTTCTGGAGACAGGTCCCAGCTTGACAAGTTAAACTAAGACTTTTAAAATATTTAATAGTACCCAGATCTTGGTTTTTAAATTTTACTCCCAACCAAAAAGAAACCAAAGCTACCTGAAGAACTGGCTGATTAAGAGTTGGGATAGAGAAGTAAAAGATGAGCCTGTAACATACATCTTGTTCTGGAAGGTTAAGTACATGCTCTCCCAAAATGGCCAGGACACACTAAAAGGAGCCAGCTTCTGGACCAATTTGGGCTAATTCAAGCAAAGCAATGACAGTAACAGATTATAATCCATTTAATGAAACAGAAACCCACAAACAGAAACTGATAATAAATGGACAAACGGGGGATAAGGAAAGGCTCTTCCATACAGTAGACCTAGTAAATAAAGAATGATGGAGTTAAAAACAAAAACCATTCTTTTGCAACCATCATAGTAAAAAGATTCAAGCATCTTCATTCAAGAATCCTCACTGAATGCTAAATGGGGGGTGGTGGAGGTGGCAATGAGAAACCGAATACACACGATATTTATTTAAAGAATCTCCCCCACAAAATTCTCATTAGTTGCAAAACGAAAGAAGAATATACAGTGGAGAGACCACAAGACACCTCACCCAAATGATCAAGGTTAACATCACCAATAAAGGGCAAACAGGTGTTTGGGCCTCCAAGTGACACCCTGAGAAGGAGAAATCACTTACACAGTAACAGCCAAAACAAACAAATAAAAAAAAAACCCAAATGTAATCATGAGAAAACACCAGAGAAACTCCAATTAAAAGACATTCTAAAACAAGTAACTGGCCCTATTCTTCAAAAACATCAATGCTGTGAAAAGCAAAAGCAGAGGAACTGTCCCAGACAAAAGAAGCACAAAGCAAGCTGATAACTAAGCGCAGTATGTGATCCTGAACTTAACAGTACACAGAGGAAAATACTGTATGTACAGATTACATCTAGATAAATAGTTTTTCCTTCTAGTTAGACAACTAGGTATCTGAAGAAATTCCCAAACACACTGCATTCAGAAATTTCAAGAACTTCCTGATATTAACTCTAGGCAGTTGGCTAATGACAATCATGTGAGGGCTTCTTTCAGGTTATCATTTTTACACGAAGAACTCATGCACAGGCCATTATCCTACAGACCATTATGCCATAGCGTGGGGACGGCGGGGGGGGAGTTGAACAGTCCGGTCAGTGATGGGGTGGTCATGCCAAAGTCCCCAAAGCATTATTTTAGCTCCTGCAGTCTCTGAACTCTATCACCTTCTCTCACCAAGATTTCCAGGAATTATGTTACTTTAAGAACAGTGAAGAAGCTCCTGGGTGGCTCAGTTGGTTAAGCGACCAACTTTGGCTCAGGTCATAATCTCGCAGTCCGTGAATTCAAGCCCTGCATCGGGCTCTGTGCTGACAGCTGGAGTCTGGAGCCTGCTTCAGATTCTGTGTCTCCCTCTCTCTGCCCCTCCCCACTCATGCTCTGTCTCTCTCTCTCTCTCTGTCAAAAATAAATAAACATTAAAAAAAAAAAAAGAACAGTGAAATTTTGGGTTTGACCGTTACCCTCCTATTTTTGGTTTTGGTCCTTTTATTTTATCAAGATATAATTTATATATAACATTGCCGAAGTTTAAGATACACAGTACACTGATTTGATAACATTTATATTGCAGTATGCCTGCTATGGTAGCATTAACTAACATCTCTATCATGTCACATAATTATCATTTCTTCTACAGATGAAAACAAGTAAGATCTAGTACCTTAGCAAATTTAATGTTTATGATACAGTTTTGCTGCCTATAATCACTATACTGTATATTAGAATGCCA